TCGACCAGTACTACTCGCAGTGCCTGTAAGGGGAAACATTAAACCGGCCTGATCACTTGTGACCGTACATATCTTTTCTTCTTTCTTTCTGTTGCATACTTAGGCCCTCTGGGCATATATATATCAAATGGCATGCTGGTTCAAGCAACCTGGCTGTGACAACTGTGCAGTGGCTTTGTGGTGGCTCAACATTGTGGCTCGTGAAAAGTCAGGTTATGTACATCTTCGTCAGCAGGATGGCCATACGGAGCGATTCGGGGCTTTGCACCCTGTCCCACAGGTGAGGCTTGCCCGAGATCGACACCCTATCGCTCCGGACACAAGCAGCCTGACTCCTGTCATGGGCCGCTATCGCTCTCGATCCGCTGCCCAAACTGTATTGCAATTCCCAGCAGACTGGGCCGAAACCTTAGTGGCCGACGCTTCCGAAAGCTCGGGACACACCCGATGCGGATGTCGCCTCAAGCCGAACATGCCCCTCGTTGGTGCAAAGTCGAGAATGGAAGCGGTGGAATGGACTGTGTCACGATACGCGCCATGAAAAGCCATGACATAACAAGAACGTCTCTTGGGATAGGGCGCAGAGGTGCCACAAGCCTGAGACCGGCGCCTTTGACGCAATGCCTCGTCACACGACCAAAGCCTCCGCAGCAATATGGAGAGTGGTGGGCCACGGCAGCAACTGTAGAGTAACACTCAAACACGCCGGCGGCCGGCGAGGTGGCCGGCGTAGGCAAGCAAGGCTATCGTCGATAGCTCGCGCAGTTGTCACGCCCTTTGAAGCTGGACAATGTCCGACGCGAACGCACAGATTTCTCGGGCGCGTGACCAGACCAGTATTATCGTCGGCCTCACAAAGGCTCACGGAACGGGCTGACACCCAATCTCAACTGTGGGTCCCAATGCTGAAGCCTATCAGCCAGGTTGGCCCACGGTGTTCTCGCCCCGGAAGGACAGGGCGTTGTGCCAGAGATAACCGTGGATGCGATGTCCGGCCCCAATGGCTGGCGGGGAATGGACACGAATATAGCGATAATAATGGGGCCCTGGAGCAAATCAAGCTGTCAGATCCCAGAAAGCTGGCCGACGAGCTCGCCAGGGGGATGAGGGATGATACCACGCTGGGCTAAGCGGCGATAGCGTTGCACCTGTCTCTCTTGTTGCTGCTCTATCGCGGGGTGCAGGTGCAAACGAGCCGTTCCCGCGACGTGCGCCTGTCACCCACACAATTGCCCGGGACGCCCCTAAGCTTCGAGGTTGCATGGCCGCGAACGCCCTGCACAAGGGAAAGCTGCTGCTTACAGTAGACCCAAGCGCGACCGCCGGTCGTGGTGTATGCATCGGAGCCGACCGATGGCACATCCAAGCCACTGATAGTCGACACGAGAACCAGTGGAGGGGTGTGAGCACCGATTGATCGATGCCTCTCGTTGGCTCGAGCCAAGGGTAGGCAAGGGGCACGAGCTCGCGACCCAGATTGGGCAAAGATACGGGATTCCTTCGCAAAGCAGTTGGCTCTCGCATTGGTCGGCCGCAGCCACAGAACCCTCTGAGGCTTCAATCTCTCATCTCAAAGAGCCAGAGGATCCTGGTATAGAAAGTCTGGAATAAGAGCTTGGTCTCCCCTCGGCATGTGATGCGGCGGGATGAGGATGCCTCTTTCGACGACGCCAATTTCGATCGTGGTCCTTCCCCATGTAGTCTGGGGTGAAAGGGGGCTTCAAGCCCCCTCGGCATTCAATGGGCCACAAAGCATCGGAGCCGCCCGCCTGTGTGTGTGTCCTCCCCCTCAATGTCAAGCGTGGTCATCTCGTGGCTTGCACCACAATGTAGCCTGGGCGGGTTGGAATCCTCCCCCATGCCCCCTCCCCTGCGTTCCCCCGGACATCCTCCCCCAACTTGCTTTTGGCTTTCGAGCCAAGATCCCAAGGTGCTTTCGGACGAGTCCGTGTGGTGTACGTACTGTGTGTCGTCCAAAGCTCCAGCAATCCTTGCCGCTCAGCCCGTCCACCAATGTCAGCGCTGCGATCCAGGGGACCAAGCCCGTCAACGGCACCATCAGCGACGCAGCTATTGGACAGAGAGGACTACTTGTCCCATCATGGTTGCCAGCGCCGAGACGCCATGACCAAGTCTCTTCTATCAACCTTCCAGAAGCGGACGAGCGCCGCTAGCTCGCCACTGGACCGCCCGCATGCCAGCGTCGGCATCCCCATGGCGCACAGGAGCCCGCAGGTACGGCATCCTTGGGAAGCGGCGCCTCAACGGAGCAGCTCTTATCTCTGGTCCCTGGGTACAGATAGGCTACGCGAAAACCTTCTCAACTGCCTGTGTAGCAGCGCCGGCAGCGACTCGAGTCAGCAGTCATCGTCATGTCGCGATGGCCCACCCTGTCAGCCACCACGAAGTCGCTGCTCGCGTGTGCAACAGTCGTTTGGCAAGACACTTGTCGAGACCGAAGCTGAATTGGATCGCGTGCATTCGTTGGGCCGTCCACCACGCAGATCCTGGGATCCTGTTCCTCCGTGGTGAGGGCCAATCCTCAGCCCAGAACCACATGGACTGTCCGCGGGGTGGGTGCTTTGGGGTTGTCTCTCCACATGGGCCAGGCCAGAGGGCTCCCCACCGGTCCAGGTTGGCCGTTGATAAGCTCCAGCAAAGCATCGTTGCAATCTTCTGTGGTTCTTCGCCCCCGTTGCGGCCATGCCCCCCTAGCCTCGGCACTACTTTCGGATTTCCCTAGATCGCCAGTGCAGTCGCACAGCTGGGGAAAAAGGGTCAGAGGAATTTTTTTAAAAGAAGGCTGTCCCCCCCTCTTTTGATGCGCTTGTGCTTTGATGTGTGTGTCTGTCGCGTCGCGGTCGCCCCCTCACGCTTGCGATCCTTGCTCCTTCTTCAAGAGTCTGTCTTCGACGCCTTCAACACGCGTCAGCACTCTCAACCGATCTTCGTTTTCTCATCCCGGAAGCTTATCACCTGTGTCATCCCGTCCGCGACCGGCAGTCATGGCTTCTCACGCAACTGTTACCACCGGCTCCGGCCAGGCGCCCTACCAAAGCCCGCCCCGGACGCCACAGCCGGCTGAACAGGCTGCTACTCCCGATCACCTCCGCCGCAATTCCGACCCGGCACTCGAGCCTGTGAACCAGCACCAACACGCCCACCTCCACCACGCCACCGGCGTCGCGGAAGACAACATCGTGTACGCCAAGGGCACCGGTCCTCAGACTATCCCCCCCCAAAGCCACCTGCACCATCACGACGACACGCGCGCCAGCAGCGAGCACGATATCGAGAAGGCCAAGCTTGGTGGTCAGAGCCCGCCCGAGTATGCCAATGGCGAGAAGGTTGGTGTCATTGCCCATGATGACGAGCGCTCGTCGGAGCACCAGCCGTCTAAGTCGCGCACGTTTTACCGCCGTTACCGCCCCTTCTTCCACCTGTTCATCTTCCTGCTGTTTACCGGCTGGTGGATTGCCGGCCTCGTTCTGCACCGCGACGACATGAACTGGCGCATCCCCTTCCTGGTGTGGCTTGCCATTTCCATGCGCCTCTTCTTCTTTTACGTCCGCAGCTCGTACCTGTCCCGCCCCGTCATCTGGGCCTGGTCTCAGAGCGCTGTCCGTGTTTACGATGCTCTTCCCCCCAAGGCTCGTACTCCCGCTGGAGCTGCTGTCACCATAGCCGCCATGATCGTCGGATCCATGGCTTCTGAGGAGTTTGCCGACAACAACCGCGAGAACCGTGCCGTGTCGTTGTTTGGTCTTGCTTTCACCATCTTTGCTCTCTGGGGTACCTCGCGCAACCGTAAGATGATCAACTGGCGCCCTGTTATCGGTGGCATGCTCGCGCAGTTCATCATCGCCCTCTTCGTCCTGCGAACCGGCGCCGGCTACGACATTTTCAAGTTCATCGCTGATCGTGCCGGTGATCTCCTGGGCTTCGCTGCGAAGGGTGTCATCTTCCTCACGAACGACAAGGTGTACGAGCTCGGTTACTTCATCATCAACGTTCTGCCCCCCATCATCTTCTTCGTCGCCATTGTCCAAGTCCTCTACTACATCGGATTTCTGCAATGGTTCATCGGCAAGGTGGCCACCTTCATCTTCTGGGCTCTTCAAGTGTCGGGTGCCGAGGCTGTCGTCGCTGCCGCCACCCCCTTTATCGGCCAGGGCGAGTCTGCTCTTCTCGTTCGCCCCTTTGTGCCGCACATGACCAATGCCGAGCTGCACCAGATTCTGACGTGTGGTTTCGCCACCATTTCCGGCTCTGTGCTTGTCGCTTACATCGGTCTCGGCCTCAATGCGCAGGCCATGGTGTCGTCTTGCGTCATGTCCATCCCCGCATCGCTTGCTATCTCCAAGCTCCGTTATCCGGAAGTCGAGGAGACTCTCACGGCTGGCAAGGTTGTTGTTCCTGACGATGAGGAGCACGCCGCTTCCAACGCCATCCACGCCTTTGCGAACGGCGCTTGGCTCGGTATCAAGATTGCCGGCAGTATCATGGCCTCGCTGCTCTGCATCCTTGCCTTCGTGGGTCTCGTTGACGGCCTGCTGACTTGGTGGGGACGCTTCCTCAACATCAACTCTCCTCCCCTGACGCTTAACCTCATTGCTGGTTACCTGTTCTACCCCCTCGCTTTCTTGCTCGGTGTACCCCGCAACTCGGATCTTCTGAATGTGTCTCGTCTGATTGCCGAGAAGGTCATCATTGTAAGTTATCCGAATGTTCATACCAAAGATCGCCAGAGACTAATTAGCGTGCTTGCAGAACGAGTACTCCGCGTTCCTAATGCTCAAGAACGAAGCGCCGTACAACCAGATGTCGCCTCGCTCCATCCTTATTTCGACTTACGCATTGTGCGGTTTCGGCAACATTGGCTCGCTCGGTATCCAGATTGGTATCTTGTCGCAGCTCGCTCCTTCGCGAGCTGGTGACGTCGCCAAACTTGCTGTCAGCGCTTTGGCCTGCGGTGTCATCTCTACCCTGACCTCTGCTGCCGTCGCTGGCCTTGTCATCACCCAGTGGGAATAAGATGTGTACGAAAGGTTCGACTCGGAGAAGTTATGGACCTAATAGTGGTCATGTAATGTTTGTAGTGATTGAAATACCCACCTGCCGACCTGGTCGACAGACAATCGTTTCTGAAGCTTGACCGTTGTCATCCGTGCGTCGTGATGCCTTTTGACCAGAGCAATCAAAAGAACGTTGAATCTGCAATTTATTAACCAATTGTTATGGTGCCCGACGAGTAAAGTCGTGGAGTTGCGTAGTGCTCGTCGAGCTAGGCCAGCGATTGATCAGCATGATTAGCAATCATGCGTTTCTGTCACCACAGCTGAGGATTGATCAGCAAGACGAATGCATCACAGCCAGGATGAGATGGAACAGAACAACATGTTATAATCTGCTAATGGAAAGCGCCAAACGCCAACAAAGCAAGCCCAGGCGGGCTTGCGATAGGTTCACTCTAGACCCCTGAACCTTCGGTTGAATTCCTCCACCGCTACGGCGACCATCTTGTATAGAAAGGCTCGTCCGCTTTCATCGCCTACTGGCAGGAACGGGCCATTGGTGCCGCCCCTCAGCGTTAAACTCAAACCCGTGCGCTCCTTCGCAATGGTCTGAACGTCCTTCAGCGGCACGTCCCATTCAGATGTAAGCCGTCGGCTGCGAATGAGCAGAATACGTGAGTAGGTAATCATGACCACCATGTCTTCTCGAGGCAGCTCCAGGTGAGCGATGTACTGCTCGTTGAAATATTTCCCATTGTCGACTTGCTTGAGCCAGTATTGTCCCATGGACTCGCGCCCATTGTAAGGCCGCACGATGCCGTCGGCCGGAATGAAGCGCGCGTATCGCACACGCTCAAGCTCGGAGCCATCAAAGACGGTGGTTGTGTTGCGGATTCCCTCGGAAACATTCGAAGCCATGTCAAGTACGCCAATGGCAGGCTTGGTGGCGAAGCCAACGACACCTTTACCGATGCCCTTGAAGAAACCCATTGCTCCCTCCTGCTCAGCTCCCTCGAGTGGCTTGCGGACGAGGCCTCCGACGCCAGATGCGGCGCTGGTGAAGAATGAATTTGCGCCCGCCGTGACGCCATAGAGAGCGTGTTTGGGTCGGTTTCGCGCCCTCGTGATACGTCGACGGTCCTGGAACTGCTTATCGAGTGTGGCCGCGGCGAGGCCCTTGGACAGACTGCCTGTGAACTTTGAAAAGGAATCTGTAAAGCCATAGACCGACTTCTTCACGAACGATGCTGCTCCCTTGCCTACGCCGAGCGCAAAATCCTCTGGCTTGTCAGAGAGGATCAGGCCCTGGTATGGTTCATAAAACACATCGGTGAGACCCGAGCTGATATTATTGAACAAGCCGACAGGGTTGCCGAGGAAATCTGCCGAGCCGAGAATCTTGTGAACCTGATAGAGCACTTCTTGGCTGTAGTGGTTGGAGATGTTTTGGGTCAGCGCCGGCACAGAGACGCGCACATTATCGAGCATCAATGCGTTAAGTCGGATAGGGGCATCATTGACGTTGCCGATGGCCATAGTCATGACATTTAGGAAGAACATGAGTGGATTGCGGGACGATGTCTTGTCTTCAGCGTTGACGCGCTCGGTGCGCATGAACGAGAGATCCAGCTGCATGGGTTGGATATTGAGTAGCTCAAAATATATGTCCTGTCCTGATTGCTGCTGTTTCGGCTCCGGGATGTCGAGTTCTTCATCGCAAAGCTTGCCTTGATCGGGACTATTGGACCATGCGGCGCCAGGGATGTTGGAAAAGTCGAGCACGGCGTAGACAAAGTCCTCGTCAAGCTCGACCGTCATTTGCTGCAACAGCAGCGTGGCGTACTTGATGTAAAGGACGCCGTAGGAGTCGTCCTTGACTCGGGTGACCATGGCATGCAGTGAGGGGTGCGCATCGACCTCTTGCGCCTTCTTGGGCACGACGCTGGGATACAGAATCATTGGGAACAGACCCCCGTACAGTTGATTGTCAATCTGTATCCACTTGACCGCCAGGCTCACAGTCTGATATAACTGCGACTCTTGATACCTCAGTTGCACGTCACGGAATGTGATGTATGCAAGCTCTCGCAGCTGTGAGTTGATCAACGATATGCCAATGCCAGACAGCTTGAGCTGGGCGCGGAACGTAGCGCCTGTCTCTTGACTTTTGACCTCGAAGCCCTCGGCGTTGTTTGTGCGGGAACCCGATTTAGACTTCTGGCGGTAGAGACTCTTGGACGGCCGATAATTCGACAGGATCAGAGTCTGCGTCGGCCCATCGGCGGCTACATTGATGTCAATGATCTTTTGCTGGCCCGAGGCAGTGACAGCCTTCATGGGAATCTGATTGCCGATCTCGGCCAGTTTGACATGGCGCTCCTTGCCCTGTGCGTTCAGAACAATCTCGCGGAACTTGCCGGCGGGATAATCCCATGCGTAGGGCATGATGCTGCGTGGAGGCAGTCTGTACCGAATGGGCTTCCAGCCAGACCGGTCCTCGACTCCGTCCTCGTCGACATTCGGATTGGCCTGGTAAAAGGTGAATTCGGTATCGCTCTCATTGCGCATGGAGAAAGGCCAGTTCTTTGTCTCTATACTGAGGTGCACGAACACAGTAGCGGCTTCCATGAGGATTTCGGCACGGACGAGCCTCTGACGCTGACCGTGTTTAGCAATTTTGATGTGTGTCGTGCCTATGTCGGAAATGTTGAACGGCGAGGTCCAGTCATTATTCATGCCGGCATGGCAAAGCGATAGCTGCTTCACTGCCGTCTTCTGCATGAAGTGGATGGGTTGTAGGGCGCCGGGCTTGAGCGTCATGAAGCCGGAAGCGCTCGACTCGCGGACGTTAATCTCTTCGTCAAGCTTGTTGGCGAGAACAAACCGCGGCGCCAGAGTTACGACCTTGGTCATCTTGTACTTGCCTTCGCCAGACTCGATCGTGATACCGACGTGAATTTCGCTGTTCTTCTTCGCGGACGGCAAAACAACTTCATTGGTGCTGCCGATGGCATCGAAAGATTGCGGCTTGCTCCACTCTGAGTCGGCAATTTTGAGGAGCGTGCGGTTGCGGTTATCGTCATTACCATAGGAGAACATGAAAGGCGTGGCCTTGGGACGTTCTTGGCCTGGCTCCAGTCCTTGTGTGAGCAGCGACTGACCCGCTGCGGCCTTGGCGCTCTGCATGAAGCTCTTTGCTCGGATGCTAAGGTCGAGACCAGTCTTGTTGAGGATGACGTAGGGACTGTACACAGTCACGCGGAACGCGCCACCGCTGTCGGGGATCTTGAAGTAATGCAGCTGAAGCGTCAGATGAAGACCATCTTGGTCCTTGCATATGAGCTTCTTTTCCTTCTTGAACTCGTCTGAGTGGCCTGGGTTCACCACGGCAAAATCGCTGGGCTTGAATACGGTATCTTGCATGTCGATGCTCAGAAGGAGCAGGTGTGAAAGCTCAACAACGTGCACAGGACTCAGACCGCCCTTACGCAAAAAGTTGGTCCAGTCCTTCTTCGTATCCTTGTCATAGATGCGGTACTTGAAGTCGTGAGGGAGCAGGTTTTCGAGGACGATGGGCGGCGAAACCTTAAGCCGCATGTACGGGTAGTTCCTAGTCTTATTAGTGAAGGTTCGAGCCTGTCTGCAGCACGACACACTCACCTGGTTAAAGGATTGGCCTTATCAAAGGTCGCGTTGACTTGAAAGTAGAATGGGTCCCCGTTCTCACCCTTGCACACCATGGTCCTCGTGGGTCGCTTGAGCAGATCGCGCCACCAAAGCGTCTCTGACGACCACGCGTAGCCAAACCCTGAGTCAGGCCTGATGAGCAACGATTTGAGAAAGACGGCACCGACCGGGGCGGGGCGCGACTCGCCGGGGGAGATCTTTTCAATTTTCAGCAGGTGACCCTCCTCCGCATCGTAGACTCCCAATTCAACCGGGATCTGCGTATCGTTCTCAACGACCAGAGGCGAACGAAGCGTGACGTATTTGACGTTGTCTTGACCAAGGCTGACCTCAACGAGTAGTCGGTGCAGAACATTGTCCGTCTTAGGACGCAGACCGTAGATGAACTCACCCTCGCGATTGAGACGAACGCTCTTGACCGGGTCGAAGCCGCTGCCTTCCAATTGGATCGTGACATCGTTGGAACTACTCTCCGCCAAGAGGTTCTCGCGCATCTTCTCCCAGGGTTCAAAGCTCCAAGGCACTTGCTGGCCGTCTTCGAGACGTGTTGTTGTGACCTCGTCGGTGACAGTGCTCTTGGACTGAACGACTGCTTCGAAACCGGTGTAATTACGAATGCGGTAGGGCGCGTCGACACCGCGGGGCTTGCCGAGGACATCCTCGTCCTGGCTGAGGAAGGCGAAAGACTTGGATGCCAGAGCAATGGTAGCCGTTGTGAGCGTCACATCAAAGACCTTTTTAGACGTGACATCAATGGAAAGAAGTCCCGTGTCTTGCTCCTTTGCAATGCCGACGCCCATCTGCCAAGGCTCCAGCAGCGGCTCCCAGGAGGACTTGGAAAAGTTGTACACATTCATGTAAATGTCGACAGCCGTGCCGGCCTTGAGATTCGACGACCAGTCTTCAGCTGTCGCCGTGAGACTTTTGATACCCAAGTCAAAGATGGGCAGTTCGTGTGTGTCTCCAATGAGCACGATCCGAATGCCGTCAATCGTTGCTGTAAGCTCTTCATGCTGGTGGGGAGGTTTTTGTAGGGCTCCATAACTCTCAAAATCATCCGCCTGGCTGCCTTGCGCAGCTGCAATCTTGGCACCGGGACCTGCGCTCTTGGTGGCACGCGTGCGCGCTGCAAGCGTTGACGGACCCTTACCGCTAGCTGTACGTTGTTTTAGTCCGGCCTGCCGCAGTTGTCGAGCCTTTTCGTCCACCGCCGATGGCTTGGAGTCATTCTGAGGCTGGTTGCTGGAGAGCTCAGTGGCCTTGCTAGCAATCTGTAAGGCCAAGAGGATATCTCGCAAGGACAAGCGTAGGATGAGCGGTTCTACATCGACGTGAATGCTCGTTAGACCTGGTTTGGAGCTGTCCATGGACATCTGGATCGAGAAGTCGTCGAGAACGCGGAGTCGCGAGTCTTCGAACTTGTCCATTCGACACATGAACATCCCAATCTCTGAAATCTGGAAAGTCAAAGCATGCTGTTGAGATAGCAG